GGGGAAGAGGGGTGAGGGTGGTGAGGGGAAAGGGGTGAGAGGGGAAAGGGGAAGAGGGGAGGGGGAGAGGGGAAGAGGGGTGGGAGGGGTGGGAAGGGGGAGGGGGAGGGGGAGGGGGAAGGGGGAGGGGGGAGGGAAGAGGGGGAGGGTGAAAAGGAGAAGAGGGGGAGGGTGAAAAGGAGAAGAGGCGGAGGGTGGAAAGGTTGGGGAAAAGGGAAGGGGGAAAGGGAAGGGGGAAGGGGAAGGGGGAAGGGGAAGGGAGAAGTGGAAGAGGAGGGAAGGAGGGAAGGGGAAGGGGAGGGGAGGGGGAGGAAGAGGAGAGAAGGGGGGAAGGAGTGAGGTTGGGGATTTGACACAGAAGGAATCAGCTGTACACGTTGAATAACCGAGAGTTTTTATAACCAGTTTGGGATATATCCACGCTGAGGTTGGGGAAATGGTGGGGAATGGGGAAGGTTGGGGGGAGGGGAATGGGGGACGGGGTCTGGCCAAGGTACATATAACCAGGTAGCTCCACTTCCATTCAGTTTTTTTAACCCGATAATGACTTTTTCCCACGAACATTCTGACGGCTGCTAATGGTAAGGTACTCTTCGTTATTATAAATAAAAGAGGGGAATTTTGGTTTTACCTCTGGTTATTATAATAATGCCGAGTAAATCATATATATAATTGTGTATCTATTTATATCTGATATCTCACAGTGCACTCTCACTGACTAGATGACGTCATTAGCTCTGCCCTTTTTTTGGACCACGACCATTTGTATGATGTTCTATGGTGTTATTTCAGTGCATTTTCCCTGAAAATGGTTCAGTAATAACGATGATAAAATATTTATCGAAAAAACAAGAAAAAGAATAAAGAAATTTTTAAAATATCTCATAGTTACAGTGAACAAAGTTGATGGGGCGGGGCTTGAGTTGCCAGATAGGAAATAAAAATTCGGAGAGGTGTATGGTCGTGGCTATCAACTTTGTTTGTTTGCTTTAAGTTTTCTTCTTTGGGGTTGGGATGTTTTTTTGGGATGAGGTTAAGACCAGTCAAGGTATGAGGTTGAGTATGAGGGTGGAAGCTAAGGTTAGGATAAGGTCGGGACTGGAAATGAGGTTGGAATCAGGCTGGAGCTGAGGTTGGAATCAGGCTGGAGCTGAGGTTGGAATCAGGCTGGAGCTGAGGTTGGAATCAGGCTGGAGCTGAGGTTGGAATCAGGCTGGAGCTGAGGTTGGAATCAGGCTGGAGCTGAGGTTGGAATCAGGCTGGAGCTGAGGTTGGAATCAGGCTGGAGCTGAGGTTGGAATCAGGCTGGAGCTGAGGTTGGAATCTGGCTGGAGCTGAGGTTGGAATCAGGCTGGAAATGAGGTTGGAATCAGGCTGGAGCTGAGGTTGGAATCAGGCTGGAACTGAGGTTGGAATCTGGCTGGAACTGAGGTTGGAATGCGGTTGGAATAGTCTGGAATCGGCTTTGGAATGAAGATTGAGTTTTTTGAGGGATGTAGATCTTAGGACAAACGTGATATTTTACCGTCAGCTTTCACTATGATATGCCTTGTAAGTTCAACGCCATAACTTAATTACATATCTATCTGTAAGAGTAAAAAAGTACACTAATTGTATGTTTCTTTTAAACCTTGTACTTGTCTTGTTTTTTGGTGATTTCTTTGTTTATTTAAACCCGTTTCTCTTGTGCATACACACACACACACACACACACACACACACACACACACACACACACACACACACACACACACACACACACACACACACACACTTATACAAACATACACACGCAAGGATTATTGTTAGTTTGGCTGATGTAAACAAGAACATAATCCTATAAAGATATGAAGAAAAGGTTGTAGAAGATGGAATCGAACAACGCAACGGAGACAAGAAATTGATTGTCAATATTCTCAAGGTCATAAATCCCAAATTCTCTGAGCAGAGTACCATAGCTCACAGGAGGTTGGGAAAGAAACGCCCTATAACGTGACAATCCTGAATAAACAAATGTTAGCTGATGTAACAATGAAAGTTAAAATCCTGGCCACCCAGGATTTAAGAAAATCTGGGTAAGAGAAAATATTACCACAAATGGCAGAGAAATACTGCAGAAAAAAAAATGGAAGAGGTATAGAACAAAAATGAACAAAGGACTGAAGATGAAAAAAAAAGTTCATTTTGAAGGTAAGAGGCAAAACAACTTTACAATCTGTATCAAAATGTAGAGACAGATAAATGAATACCGATAAATTATATAAAAATAATTTACATAAACATAGATGGTTTATGTTCAAAGTTAGTAGAACTAGATACAATAATTGAAATTAGTGAACCAGATACAATATACATCACTGAATCCAAACTGGATCCTCTATAGATGATGTAACATTAGGACCCAGAAACTATAATATTTGGAGAAAAGATAGGACAAATGGAAATTGGTAGCAATATTAACAAAGAAATTAATTATCATAAAGGATTTGGAGACTAAGCAAGACCCCGCAGCGGAACTAAAGGCAAATAAGGTAGAAACAAACGGAATAAACATATTAATAACCACAGTGTACATGCCACCTCATGTATCGGTAGATATGTCACTTGAAAATTACCAAAAACTAATTCAAGAAACGTTAAAGATCTTGGAAGAAGTGCTACAACTTCCGGAAACCAATGCAAATGAAATTCTTGTAACAGGGAATTTTAAAAGCAAAATCGACTGGTAAGGCTTCGATCCCAGAGCTCAGCCAGATTCGTGGAATGCAAAATTACTAGAAGTCATAAAGGAGTGTTGCCTTTTCCAAAATGGAATAGATCATACCAGGATATGAAGGACATATAGACCGTCTATGCTGGACCTAATATGAACCAAGCATAAAGGTGATATTAAGATACAGAGTACTGTCTTCCTCTAGGAAAAGTGACCATTTAGTAATTAAGTTACAGGAAAAAACTTGTCGTTGGTAAGGAAAGAAAGTACAATTACAAGAGAATTGATTATAAAAGTCTTAAAGATTTCTTGATGCCATAAACCGGAAAACACAATATTCAAATACAATATTCAAATTTTCTAATAAATAAATAAATAAATAAATAAATAAGAAAAAAAATAAATGAATAAATAAAAGATTTAAAAAATAAAGAAGAATAAAATCTTATGTCAAGATTTAAAAACCGAAGCAAGAAATGGCCAAAAGTGTTTCTGTAATAGATACAAGAAAATGAGAGAAAACCAACAGCTCCCTTGGAAAAGGCTCAGAAAACATAGATCTCAGGCAGCCTTAGAAAGGTATACAGGAGGAAGAAATGAGTTTGCCTAAACCATCAAAATTAGACTCTGAAAAGGATATAATCAAGTAATGTTGATATCAACCAAAAGCTTTTCTTTAACTACATAAATAGTAAGACTAAAAATAGAGATTAATTTAACGCCATCAAAATCAATTACATCGTTTATACTAAGGAGGGGGGCATGTATGAAATCCTTAATGAGAAATTTCAGTCAGTGTTTGTTCAGGACCCATACTCTGAAACGGCAAATAACCATAGAAATGTAAATTAGAATATCGAAAATATCGCCCCCCCCAAAAAATGAAACAAAAGATACCATTCAAAGAGTTAGATAAGACTAAAGCAGAGGGACCAGATGCGATTTCTAACTGAGTTCTTAGGGAATGTGCCGTAGAACTATGTATTGTTAATATTTCAAAATTCCGTGAGACAAGCTTGGAAATCCACCCGCGTTAAACCTTTAGACAAGAGCTGCGACAAACAGAACCGTCTAAATCATACACCAGTTTCGTTAACCAGTGTAGTGTGTAAGTTGTTAGAAAGGATACTAAGGAAACAATGAGTTGATGTATTTGAAAAACACGATATGATATCAGATTAACAATTTGGTCTTAAGGAAGGAAAATCACATGCAGAAAATCTCCTTAGACTTTAAAAAAGGCATTTGATAAGGTATCTTATAGAAGACCATTTTGGAAATTGAAAATTAGAGCGAAAGGCAAACTCCTCGAATGGACGATAGACTTCCCTCATGAAAGACAGATGAGCATCGTAATTAGAGGGAAGCACTCGACAGGGAGACGAGTAACAGGCGGAGTACCTCAAGGATCGGTCTTGGTGAAGATTATATTTACTATTTTCATCAGTGATTTAAGGTCAAACATAAGCTCATGGTGGTTACCTGACTATGTTTACAGACGATGCGAAAATACAAAAAAAAAGGATAATAAACGACGTCTCATGCTTCCAAAGTGACGCTAAGAACTTATTCATGTGGAGTTGTACTTGGAAAACAGAATTAAACACCAATAAATGCCATCGTTCACTCTATCAACACACATTAGGGGATGCAATATCAAACACAACAGAGAGGAAAAAAATGGAATAATCATTAACAGGAACCTAAACCCAGATGATCATATAAATAACAATGGTTCATTGCCAATATGACGAGGGCTCTCCTGAATGTGGACTAAGATATGGTAAAGAAGATCATTACAGCCGTCATAAGACCTAGTCTAGAGTGTTGTGCAGTGGTATGGAGTCCACTTAAAAAGGATATAGACAAATTGAAAAGATTTCAAAGAACAGCCATAGGATGAGCACTAGCTCTAAGAACATGAACTACGAAGAAAACACGACATAAAATAGGACTTAGTTATTTGCAAGGAAGGAGGGAGAGGGGTGACATGATAATGCTGTACAACTATGTTACAGGAAAAGCGAAGTTAATAAAGATCTTGAACATAATCCTGAACACAAGACGGATAAGACAACCCAGTAAAAAAGGGGGAGGAAAGTAAGAAGAGGCGATAAAGATATCAGAAAGTTCAGTTTCCCAAACAGAACAATTGAAACCTGGAACAAACTTCCAAATAACGTTGTGTATGCCAAAAAATATGCATAAATTCAAAGAGCATAAATATATCAGACGGGACCATCTCAGCTTAGCTCTTCCCCCGTGTTAAAACAACCAGGTAAAAACA